ACACCAGCAGAGCACGAAGTTAACAGAACAGCGATTTCAGTGGCCCTACCTGATGAAGAATACAGACTTTACACAGAGATGAAAAATAAAGCTCACAGAACACAATATTGTCATAATATTGTATGGTGACAGAGGGTGACCACTTAACATGGTGAGCACTAAGTAACGTACAGAATTGTCAAATCACTATGTTGCATGCCTGAACCTGATATAACATTGTCTGTCAACTATGCTTTAATAATAAATATTTTCTAAAGAAAAGAATACAAACTTAAAAAAATTAGTTCAGTAAATTCACTGACCAAACACAAACCACCACAGTAAGCAGAAACAACTAACACCGGGGATGGAAGAGAATCTGATTTCCAGAGTTGCCACATTGCACTATTCAAAATATCCACTTTTCAACAAGAAATTATGAAGTTTTCAACGAAATAAGAAAGTCTAGCCCATACACAATAAAAACAGAAACTAATGGGAACTGTCCCTGAGGAAGCCTCAACATTGGATTTATCACACGATGACTTTAAATCAATTATTTCAAATATGCTTAAAGTGCTAAGGGAAACCATGTACAAAAAAACAAAGGAAACTATAAGAACAATGCCTTCCAAAATAGAAAATACAAACACAGAGATAGAAAGTATAAAAGGGAACCAAATAGAAATTTCAGAGTTGACACATTCAAAGTGTTTAATGGATGAGTTCTACATCCAAGAATTCTATATCCAAGAATTCTATATCCAACAAAAATACTCTTTAAAATGAAATACTCTTTAAAATACTCTTTAAAAATGAAAGAGAAAGTATCCAAGATAAACAAAAGCTGAGGGTGTTCATCACCACTAGACCTGCCTTAGGAGAAACCCTAAAGGGAGTCCTTCAGCCTGAAATGAAAAAACACCAGACAGCAATTCCAATCCACATGAAGAAATAAAGAGCACTCATATAAAAAATTGCATGGGTATATATAAAAGTCAGTAACTTTTATTTTGCAAAACTTTTGTTTTGCAAAAACAAAAATAACAACAATAACAACAAATAAACAAAAAACAATAAAATCAAGGCATCCAAACCAGAAAGAATAAATATCTTTTTTTGTAGATGACATGATCTTATATAGAGAAATCCTAAAGAACCCTCAAAAGAAATTATTAGAGCTAAAAAATTCAGCCAAGTTGCAAGATACAAAAGCAACATATAAAAATCACTCATATTTCTAAATGCTAATAATTAGGAACCAATAAATTAAGAAAATACAATAGTATAAAGAATAAAATACTTAAAAATAAATTTAAGCAAGAAGGCGAAAAACTTGTACACTGAAAACTACAAAACACTGTTGAAAATAATTAGAGAAGATCTAAATAAATGGAAAGGCATCCCACGTCATGGAATGCAAAACTTAATGTTAAGAAGGACGTACTATCAAAATTCAAATTGTCCTCTTTGGAAATGGACAAGCTGATTCTAAAATTCATATGTAATTACAAGGAATCCTGAAAAGCCAAAACAAATCCTGAAAGAAAAACCCAAAGTTGGAAGACTCACATTTCTTAATTTCAAAATTTACTACAAAGCCACAGTGATCAAAACAGTGTGGTAGATCAATGGAACAGAATTGAGAGTCCAGAAATAAAAGAAAACATCTATAGTCAACAGATTTTCAACACGGGTACTGAGATCACTGAATGGGAGAATTAAGTCTTTTTAACAAATGCTGTAGGAATAACTCAAGTTTGGTCTTTGTATTACACCAGTACAAAAATTAACTCAACATGGACAAAGCCTAAATATAAGAGTGAACAGAAAGTGTAACTCCAAAGTTTGTAGTTTAAACTCCAGAGAATTTAACACTATAAAACTCTTTGGAGAAAACACAGGGGAAAATCTTCATGATCTTAGATATGACAATGAATGTATTCTCAGATAAGAATCCAAAAACATGATCTGCAAAAGAAAAAAAAATGGACTTCAGCAAAATTTAAAAAACTTTTTTGGGGTGCCTGGGTGGCTCAGTCGGTTAAGCGTCTGACTTCGGCTCAGGCCATGATCTCATGGTTCGTGAGTTCAAGCCCCACATCGGGCTCTGTGCTGACAGCTCAGAGCCTGGAGCCTGCTTCGGATTCTGTGTCTCCCTCTCTCTCTGCCCCTCCCACGCTCACACTCTGACCTGTCTCTCAAAAATAAATAAACATTGAAAAATAATTTTTAAATAATAATAAAAATAAAAAACTTTTTCATCAAAGGACACTATCAAGAAAGTAAAAAGACATCCTATGGAATGGAATAACAAGGTATAGGAGTGACTGCTTAATTTGTCTGGATTTCTTTTTGAGGTGATAAAAATATTCTGAAAACAGAGTTGTGATAGTTGCACAACACTATAAATGCATTGGAAGCCACAGAATTGTACATTTTAAAATGGTTGAAATGGTTACTTTTTTTTAATTCAATACTTCTGGTTTTTTCCCAAACATCTGAGAGTTCAACTAAATAGAGAAGTGTGTACATCAAAAATGTACCTCATGGAAAGTTGTGATTTTGTTTTCTTTTGTTATTTTTCTTAACCCAATAACCGGAAATTAGCCCCCAAAAAGTTTCTTAATAAAAAGTTAACTTCTGGCCTACATTAAAAAGTCACAATACATACATACATATATTTACATGAAATTAAAATAAAACATCTGTTTCTTTGAAATAAGGTATATGCTTTTAAATGAAAATGACTGGCCTTCCTTATTAAATACTAGTATCCGTCCCAAATGGAATTTTAAAATTAATATCCACTCAACTGCTTTGTATAATACAGTTTCAGGATTTGAAAAGTTGAATGTAATGTATCAAGTTTAAAAAATAACAAATATAGGGGCACCTGGGTGGCTCAATCAGTTGAGCATCGGACTCTTGATTTTGGCTCAGGTCATGATTTCACGGCTCATCCGTTCGAGCCCCACATGGGGCTCTGTGCTGCGCAGAGCCTGCTTCAGATCCTCTGTCTCCCTCTCTCTCTGCCCCTCACCTGCTTATGTGTACTCTCTCTCTCTCAAAAATAAATAAACGTTAAAAAAAGAGAAATATAAATAGCTACGCTATTTTGGCTATGTACAGTAAACTACTCTGAAGAGTTTGGATGTAACCACAACCATTTTAACCATGAAAGAGCCCAGACCCTCCCCTTGTACCACTTCCAGTTTCTCCAAGGTGGCAAAATGCCTCTGGACAGTCCGAAGGGGCCACAAAAATAAACTTGCCAAAGCTGGCATGAGGACAGCAGGCAACACCAGTGGGCTGGCATGAGCGATTCTCTGGGCCACTTCTTTAGCATCCTTTCATTCACACCTAAACTTCATAGAACAGAGAATTCGCCCAACCATCAATTAGCCTTCCCTACATTTTTCCTTCAAGCTTGAAAAGTAATTGATAATTTAAAAACCACTCTGTAAATAGAAATTTCCAGAGACATCAATTAAAATAATTAACTAAATCTGAAGGGGAAAAAAGCTATAACCAAAAATAAATCTCCAGCAGTTCTAGGCCAATTCTATAGATATCTTTCTTTCCATATGACACACAAAACCCAAAAGATGAACTGCAACTGAAGAACTGTATGATTATAATTGTCCTATTGCAGTCTTGATCGTATTTAAAATATGTATTTTGCCACTCTCACAATGAAAGAATAAGGTACAACATTTATGTTCCATACTGATGATGGTTTTTCTCTGATGTCAAAGTCCACTCCTCATTGTAGATGCCACCCAACATTTGTTTTCCTCTAGCTGGGAAAATGAACAAACAATTCAAGGCAACATCAACTATATAAAAAGTTATGCTATATGTATGACATGACCGATTTCTCCTTTCAAAGATTTCACCAAGTACAAAAAAAAATCTAACCAAAGATGTCTTTTTTTCCTACAAATCAAATTTCAGATTTCTAGTATATATGGATTTGATGTAACTATGTCTAAACTAAACTTTTTTAAATGGGGAGAGGGACAAATCACAGTTTCAAACAATACTACTTTAAAACATAGCATTCAGAATATTAGATTTTTTTGAAAGTGCTTTGGGTGATATGAAATAATGCTAATCACTTTCAATATCTAAAAGAATACACAGGCCTAGTTTTTTCCACAAGGTTAAAGTGTATTAAGTATTAGTTTGCTAATGTTTATTTAATATCTCCTTAAAAAGATTTGTTTTGGGGTATTTTTAAGTGATTTCTGAACTATATTATATAATAAATTTAATTCCAAGAATTATTCTAAATATGACTCATTCATGAATTCCATGTATCTTAAAAGTACTAGGTAATTATATTTTCAAGAAATTGTCTATTAGACAATAACATTAATAACATAATAACATGATTAATAATAACATAAATAACATTTCTCTAATGAAAATGTTTAAATAATGAAATAACCAACACATCTTTGAATCTGGAATGTTAACCAAAAACACAGTTAATATAAGTTCTTAGTAATATCATAACATCCTTAAACGCGACTCATCATTACAAATTAAAAGCTAACTTAATACATTTTGTAAGAAAGAAAATTACAACTTGAAAAGTACTGCCAGATACATATCATTATGCCTCCTCTATGTATACATACATAGGATGATAGGTTTGAGAGCGGTAAGAGGTTAGACAGTGTGGTCAAACATTTTATCATTATGAGACATGTAAGAATCATAATGACCTCTGGTTCAGTCAGCAAAGACCACCAATAACTCAAGTGCAATTATACCAGTTTGGGGAAACCACTATTTCCATAGTTTTAGCAAGGACATAGGTAAATTCTGAAGAAGGTTATGCAATCCAGCATTGTATAATACAAGTTGTTAGTCATTTGGAAGGACCTTTTCGTGAATTTATTTTCTAAGAAAGTTACAAAATTAATTAAAGTATCTTGAGGGTAATAAAACTGATAACTAGGAAAACAATGTCATAACACAAGTTGAACAATATTGAAGAAAAATTATACTACCTTATGAAGCATATTTTCTACTGTTCTCATATGATTGGCAACACATTCTTTGTCTCTAGAAAATAAATTAAAATTAGGTATTAGTAAAACCCAAGCCTTACAACAACTGTTACACATTGTAGGATAAGTCACTATTATTGAAAAACATGGGTTGGTTATTATTGCACTCTTTCTAAAAGTGCAAAATCCAACCATATTCACTGGTATATTTCCACATTTAACCGTTACCTTTAGTTATATTGCCTGCCATAAATTAGAGGGGGGAAAAAAATCTTAAGGATATCCTCAAAGTGGGAAAAAAAAAAAAAAAGAGTGAAAAAGGAAGAGAAAAGAAACCATGATTACATTATTGGTTTAAAATGTGCTAGAAAGGCTAAACTTTTATTCTTTTGATTTCTAATGAAGGAGATTTTAAAAATCATAGTGGTGGGGATATATCATGAATGGCCATATTATGCAAAATAATATTTTCCTTTCTACATAGGCTCTTTGTGTTACAATAATTGCATAAAAACCCTCTTCTATGACCTTGACCAGAAACATGTAAAGTTACTAGTTTCTTCTAACAGCTCTCTAGATTGAATTTAGCCTTAATAATGAAATAAAAAGTTTAGATGTACAGAATAGGGAATATAATCAATATTGGAAGAATATTTTTAGTGAGTGATAGTTTTATCATGGTGATGACTTCACAGTGTATACAAAAGTTGAATCACTATGTTGTATACCTGAATATAATATTGAATGCCAACTACACGTCAATATAAATACAATTAAATTAAAAGTTTGGATGAAAATGCTGAAGACAAAATTTAATGGTAATTTATAAATTGAAAATGTATGAGCTCTCCAAATTTCAAATTAACTTTCTTTTGTGTTACAAGGACATGTGATCATGGTCACAGATCACAGACATTACAGAGCTTTACAATTTTCCAAAGAACTACTGGTGGGTATTCAAACCTAGCAATATTTTGATCTTGTGTAAACTCATTTTTTCATTATGTGTGAGCAATTTCCCAAGCCTAATGGCAAAGCTGTAGATATCCTAGAGGGCAGATTCCCTGTTTTGTGATTTAGTTTACAGACTACATTCATATTTCACAATATTTGATGCTTAACAAGAGTCTGTCTCAAAAAAATTTTAATTTATATATATATACATATATATACACACATATGTATACACACATACATGTATATATGTTTATATGTATATATACATACATACACGTATGTATACACTATACATATATGTATATATACATGTATATATACATACATATATATACACACACACACACACACACACACACACACACATACATATATATGTAATTACAGGAGTCCAGAATTCCAAATTCAGAAAACACCGAGTTTATTAACATTAGATGTTTCTTTAATCCATAAATAGATTTTCTTTAAGCCATGCTGTTGTACAAAGGGCTGTCCTAAAGTATTCCATGAAATTTGATGTGAGGAACAAATAAAAATACCCAAGAGAATTGTTCAATTTGAACTTCAGAGTGTATGTCAACTTGATTACCTGGTAAAAGGAAAACCACTTTCATCACATTTACATAGATGCCCACTCTAAAAACAGTATGTTTTTTTCTGTTGGACATATTAGAATATACAGCTATAAAATTAAGTGACTTTTCCATGATCAATGTGTTTTATTGCACTTAAGAAGATGCTATGATATATATGTTGATTATATATTAACATTTTTTATGGAACTATGACTTGCAATATTGGTATATTATATGCCGAGCAAAATTTGGGGGGCAAAGGGGCAGAAGGGAATGGGGAATATGTGATAGAAGGAACTATGAAAAACTTTTGAATAAAGTGTATTCCATTTCATATTAATGAAATCATGGTTTCAAACATGTAACAGTACAACAGAGCCCAAAATACACATAATTAGAGGTTATATAGAACCTCACACTTTTCTGAGGTTTCTCAATAAAATATACAGTTAGCATGTTGAGTTAAGAGTTTTCTTTTTTGAGGATATATCAGAGAATTTCAAAGAGAGACAGCTGTACTTTTGTTTTCTAACACTGTATTATCCAGGGCTAAAACCCGGAGCATGAAAGTAAGAATTGATCTTTTGTCTGTTTTAAGTGATCTCCCCAAGGTCCGAATGCTCACTTGGCTGCCATGCGGAGGGCACTCTCTGCATCGTGGATGTTCTCCTCCAGTCGACGCTTGTCCTGCTCCAGCTGGGTAAGATGTCTATTGAGCTGACGCAGAGATTGATCTTTTCTTCTCAGCTCCATCTTTGCCTCGGAGAGACTCTGCAAGCAGACAGAAAACAGAGTTACTTGTCAGCCCTGATAATTAACTTCAATTTATGCCATAGGCTATTAAACAAAGAAGGATACAGACTGACTGAGAAGTAGACTTGGGTCATTACACATCAAGGTTTAACAAATTTTCTGCAAAAATTTTACATACTTACTAATTAGAAATGATAGATCCGAGAAGATTTTGAAAAATGTTTAGCTACAAAATACAACTCTATTTTATTTTTTCAAATACCATAAGGCAAATACATCTTATTCTTACAAAAAAAACATCTGATTATAAAAACCTCAAGTAGCATTTTCTTTGAATGATGACAAAATAAAGATTTTCAGGGGAGAAAGCACATGAAATTTAGAGTCTATGTAAAACAAGAACTATCATAAGCCCAAAGTTGTGTTTGTGAGCGAGGGGAAGGTGGGTTAGGACACCTACATGAGAAGGGGGAACCCAAGATTTAAAAGTACCACCACTTAACTTATAAATATATCCAGAACAGGTGACTGTGGGCATCTCAGGGAACAAACAAACTGGACTCCAAAATAAAACTCCCTTACTTCCCATTAAATAACTCTCATGTCAAACATAGCCACACAAATGCAATCAACATGTTTCATCTAACAGAGAAAGTTGCAAATAATACTTGCATTCAGAATTATTTGTGTCCCATAAATATTTTCCTAGCCCCAGAACTATAAAATCTGTTGATTGATATTTTGGTCTTTGCTTTAATCTGAAATATTCGCGTAGCACAAAAATGTCAAGATGCAAGTGCCAAACTCCCTTTCGGGCTAACGGTCTTAGAACCAGAACCTCACAATCTAAAGGAGTCTTTTCTAGACTTCATTCAAAATAATATAGGCATCACAGGATCCCTGAGCACTGAAACCTTGCTCATTCCTTTGCCTATGAAATTTCTAGGATATGAGCTTGTCAGTTTTTCAAGTGAATTTGCTATACAGTGAGCTAGCTAATCAATTGGTTACATGCACACAATATTTTTTCTTCTTTCTCAGAGTTTAGCCACACATGAATGTTCACAACATATATATATAATTGACAAAGCTATAATTTCATGTTTAAAATTCTTTCTACAGTATTCTCTTAAAGCATTCACAATAGATAGTACAGAAAACTCAAGCTGCCTGCACGGAGCTAAAACAATTCACTCTAAATGCTATACAACGAAAGCAATCATCTGCCAAATCAGGTGTTTTAAAATGTTAAAAGTTTTTTAATTCAGTATTTCCCTTTGCAAACAGTCAAGCTGCTTCCAGACAAGTACACGTTTAAAAAATAAAAAATAAGTAAACTGGGATTACTTACTAGACATTATATTTTATTTCAGCCTTTAGTATTATCAGATCTTCAAGAACATCCCACTATAGAAACAGTCACTGATTCAAACCGACTTTAAAAAGACAACAAAGAATAGATTTTTAAAGGCCACGCTAAACCTACGTATTTTGCACCAATGTTAAGATATTTAAAGGCATTGAAGTATTATGAGATTTCTTTATTTAAAAAAGTAAAATCCAGTTGAGTCCTGTTAAAGCCAGTATTTCTGACATCTTTCAGTTAATAAAAAATGCTATTTTTTTAGATATGAAGATAAAATTAACGACCCACTACCAGCTATGCATAAAGTTTGAATTCTTTTTCCAACAGAAATAACGGATTTGTGCCAATCCGTTCCAATGCTCTTGCTCAGTAGCTCCTATGACTAGAGGTGTGTATCTGAGAGGGGTTTCAAGGTACTGTCTCCAGCCTTGTCCAGAGTGAAGCTCACTGGCCCAATCTGAGAGAAACCCCTGACCCTGGCAGCATTGTAAAGCCACACTTGCCTTTTCAGCCATCCTATGACATCCTTTCAAAGAAGATATATCTCACAGAATTAGAATTTCTACCATATGTCCAAATCTTCTTGTTTCCTCTGGCTTTCATTTTCCTCTCTCAGGGGAAATGGCGGGGAGCCCCCAAACTCTCCTAAAGCTCGCACTATTTCAGAATAGCTGAATTTAGCCCATTCTAAGACTGGAATTGCAGAAAACGAACACAAAGTGGTATAAACAAAGCTGCAGAGGTCACACATCCTTACTGTGAAAATGAAGAGATAATGATCAGAGCCACATGACGGAGAGAAACAGAACTCCGATTTTCAAAGAGTTGGGGTAGGTACAGTACAATGGGATCCGTATACATCAATGGGTTCTAAGATTCATAAAGATGTGTGCAGAACATCAAAGTGATTCAGTAATATGTCTTTCCCCTGATAGTCACCTTTTTTTGTTTTGGATGACAAAATTAGAATCTTTAAGAACCTCAACACTGAGCTTTAAAGAAAGAAAAACATATTTAAGTGTGTGTGTATATAATGTACATACATACGTACCTCCGCCATATACAATCTATAGCATATATTATATATTGACTTAAAATTTTAAGTGAAGCTTTGCTTTTCTCCTGTCCAGGTTTGTCTAATTAAAACCCATGATAAACTTTCTGGACTCTAATATTTCCAACCGAACAACTGAAACCAGGAGGGTGTGCCTCTAGGCAGCAAGGCAACAATGATAAGCAGCAGGTTAGCCACTAATTTCTCAACCAGGGTAGATTGTGAAAGTGTGATGTTCTGATATCCAAGAAACTGTTCAGGAGAGAATAGGATAAATCAAGTTTAATAACTCTGCTCCTAATTGTTCCCCCAATGCTCAACTCTAATTACTTGGAGAACTCTCCTGACTGTCACCTGATATTAAGTTGTTGGAGGCTGAGCCTGGAACAGCGAGATAATCAATAAACATTTAGTGGGGAGAAGAATGAAGATCCTGTTAAGCAGTGGGAACCTGCAGCACCCAAAGCCCTTCTGCTCATGAGAAAACCTGTGGGACAGCCATAGTGATTGCAAAGCAATAATCCAAAGCGCTGTTTTTAGGCCTTGAGGCCTTTAGGCAACAGTACATTTGAGGAAAAAAGGTTAACACGGTCACCCTAATTACAGCCCACTTTCACATACTTCATATATAAGTGAAGACAAGCCAATTAGGTAGAAAGGAAGATAAGGGAAGTTTTATTTGTATACTAATTAAACCCCTGATGAAATTAAAGGAAAAACATACAGCTCTGTAATTGTGTCTGAGAAAGGTCACTTCAGGTTCAGTTATCAGAACAGCACAGCCTTGAGATATTTCACTTAATCCGCAGTACAGCCCTCATTTTGTACTCAGGTCTTAATATTTACCAAAAAAAGAAAAAAAATTCAAAGCCTGATACTGCATTTATCTTTAAACTGTGTTGCGAACAATTTTAGCCATTAGAAAGCTAATGCTAAATGTGATAACAAGAGTGTTTTAAAAAGACACACTAATATTCTGCCTGTATAAGAACTGATGGCACAAGTCTAAGTTTTCACCTTAAAGCCAAAATGTTTTAAAGCAAAACGTTTGACAACAAAATCCCAAACTGACTGTATATCCGAAGCTATTCTGCAATATGTTGACTGTATTTCTTTGGATGATGATGTCACTGCCCACCTTCATTTACGCCTCTCATAGTCCAGGGCGGGGAAAGCCAATGCTTTCACTAAACTACTTATGAGAAGATATTTTTACATCTGGTTATTTTCCTAAGGTGATCATGAAAAGCTATTTATTGCTAATGACAGCTGGCAAGAAAAATATAGGTGCCAAGGAAGTAGTTAAATATAGGGAAAGCTTAGGTGCAGAATACATGGTAGATGCGAATATTTAAAAGACCCTCATAATTTTTAAATGTCTCTTTTCTTATTTGAAGTGTCTGACGTTCCCATAATAAACATGTGTTACCACTGAGTAAGAGCACAAGTTATTTTTTAATGCACACATGATTTCATATTTCTAAAGCTTTAAGTGTTAATTTATTAAAGCTAACAATTTTTTTGATTGCAACTATAAGCTAAAATGCTATTAGTTTGCACCTATGAAAATATTTTGTGCAGTGGAAATTTTTTTAATAACAGCTTTATGGAGATATAATTCACATACCACATAATTCACCTTTTTAAAGCGTACACTTCAGTGGGGTTTTGTGTATTCACAGAATTATGCAACCATCACCAGTAGAGGTCTTTTTTCAGGAGACGTTCTTTAAAAAAAACTTATCAAAACAACATGGCTACCTACATACAGTAGCTCCTATTTTGGCAAACTTGAATTGTAAACTACACAAGGTATACAAAGCCTATCATTTCGTTCAGTAATAGTTTCAAAAATACGAAAGTTAGAACACGAATTCCCTCAATCAGAGTATTTGATTAATAAAGGTGGGATAGTACAAAAGTTAAGGTTATCTGAAAGAAAGTGCACACCTCTCCAATTAATAGTTCTGGATGTTCAGGGAATCATCCCACATAGTTCTCTCTCATAAGGGCACAGTACAGCAGTGCGTTAGACCATTAGGCCAGCTAGGAAGACCGAGCCCCGGGAGATACTGCTTTTATAGATTTTCTTTTGTCTAATGGGAAATATCTATGGATCCACATTCCTACAGACTAAAAGCTAATGGCTTATTCAATTTGGTATAAAAGTCAGTCATACAAAATGAAAGGCAAGACAACAATGCAAGTGTTATAAAGAATGAAGCTACATTTCCTAGGTCGGGGGAAAAAACATCTATAACACATTTTTTAAAACTTCACTGTTGTTATGACCATAATTCATGAATAAACATTCCTAGATTGTGATAAATTGGGTAAAACATCTCAGGGCACTAAAACTAACATTGGGACAGGAAACAGCACTGTCTTCAGCCTTACTCTAATAGTGTAACAACTAGAAAATTATATTAATCAAGAAGTGAGGAGCTGCTGGGTAGATCACACAAGGCAGGCTGCCACAGAAAGTATAAAGTTAAAGTGATACAACCACCAAGCTTACAACTGGGCACACGAGTCAGGGATGAAATTAGAGGACTCCATATTTTACAATAAAGCGTGAAAGTCTGTGAGATACGCAAT